AGATTAAGGAGGAATTAAAAAAAGTTAAGGTTGACAACGCAGAGAAAGAAAAAATTATTATTCATCTGAATAGTAATAATTTGAATCAAACAAAATTTATTGAAAAGCAATTAAAGAAACTTTCTAACTTACTTTTTCCTGATCAAGATTATAACTTTACTCAGTTAAAACAAGAAGTGATTAGATTAAAAATTAAAGAATTATCTCCTCAATTAAGAAATGAGAGTGATAAATTAGAAAAGTTAATAGCTAGCAGTAAAAATAAGGTTGGGAACAACTTTGAAAAAATAGTAGACCTATTTCTCGAAACTCAGAAGCAAATCATTGAAAAAAAGAAAACTAGTAATATTTTAATTCAAGCGCACCTAGAAGGACAATTAACTGCTTATCAAAGTATCCTAGAAGGAAGAGTTAGAAAGGCTTTTGAATAAAAAAACTGAAATATTATATTTGGAAGAGCAATTAGCTCAATTGCAAATTGATGAGCAATAAACGGCCTATATTCTAAATAATCAAAAATCTATTATTCGTATAGAAAAACTAACCATCTTTTATATCTGACAATATAATGAAATTATCTAGCGGGATATTAGTTGAGAGAATTATCAAAGACCAAATTGTAATGTTAATTGTCCGAAGCATAGCTGAGGACACTATACTTCTAGACATTAGAAAAGCGTGGAATGGTCAACGAATATACGAGGTTTTTTATCGTATTTTTGAATAATATTTCTTTAATTTTTCAGTATACCATGCAATCGCAGTTGCTTAAAAAAAAATGTCATTGTTATCATTATTTTTTTTTATTTTTTGAAGCCCCGAGATTATTAATCATGTAAAAAAACAAACAACGGTATATTGTGGTGTGGATCCTACTGCACCTAGTTTACACTTAGGAAACTTATTAACGTTAATGGGATTATTACATTTCAATGTTATCGGTCATCGTACGATTGTTTTGGTTTGTCATATTTTTAAATAATGAAATTTATATTATTTATGTATAATTATCAAGTTATTGTATCAAAATAAATTATCAGATCGGTGGTGCAACAGGTTCAATAGGGGACCCATCAGGACGTAATACAGAACGTCAACCCATGTCGGTTACCACAATAGAACATAATGTAATAGTTCTCAATCAGCAACTACGTCGTATATTTAATAATGGACTTATGTACGCATCAAGACGTGGATTCGTATTAAGCAATGAACTTGATAATTTTTTGGTTATGAATAATTTGGAATGGTTTCATAAAATGACAGCTCTTGAAATGTTAAATAATATAGGAAGATATTTTAGAGTTGGTCCAATGTTGATGAAAGATAGGTGAGTCTAATATCTTTACAATCATTCATTTTTTTTAAATTAATTATTTGAAAAATCTTTCAGTCTTTCGATCTAAACTTTCAACTTTGTAAAGTGTCAAATTAAGGATGGAAAATGAAGGGGGAATAAGTTTCACAGAGTTTTCTTATCAATTACTTCAAGCTTATGATTTTTGGTATTTGCATAATCATCATCAATGTCGAATTCAGGTGATATAAAAATTTAATTAGCTTTCTTTATTGAAGCTTTGTATTTATTGGATTCTTTTCATTCCAAGTTAGGAGGTAGTGATCAATGGGGAAACATTACTGCAGGCATTGACCTGATCAATAAAAAGAAAAACCATGAAATGATTGATGATAAAAATATCAAAAATAAGTTAGATGTATTTGGAATTACAATTCCTTTATTGTTGACTTCAACAGGAGAAAAGTTTGGCAAATCTACGGGAAACGCGATTTGGTTGAATGAAAATTTAACTAGTGTATATGAATTCTATCAGGTAGTTTTTTTTTTATTAATTATTTTATTACTGTTTCTTTATCATGCATATTTTAATTTATCAATAGTATTTTATGAAAGTTGCCGATGCAGATGTAGAAAAATATCTTTTGATGTTTACAATGTTAAATGCTGAAGAAATAATCCAGATTATGAAAACACATATGGTATTAGTTTTTATGATAATTTGGTAAATAATCGGATTTATACATAATAAATTTTATTAAAATGTAATTTAATTACAGGAATCACCAGAAAAGCATTATGCGCAAGAAAAGTTGGCATCTGAGATTACGGAACTTGTGCATGGACGTGAGTATTGTATTATTACTATACTTAATAATTATAAAATTTATTGTCGTGGCAGAAGATGCTGAAATTTGGGGTCGCGATTTAAAAATATAAGCCCTGCTAAAATCCACATATACTCTTTA